GAGTTCACGGGAGTTCAAACATGGAGACCTCGGACGCGTCGATCAAGCCCCAGCCTGCTTCCAGGTCACAGAGGGTGTCCAAGCCTCCGTCGTACCTCCGCAACGCATACCAGCTGACTCAGAAGCGACAGCGCGGGAGGAAAGCGGAGCGATCGGTTGCAGTGCCAGCCAAGCGCGCCAGGGTGACGAAGGCGAAGGGGGTTCCTCTGAATGGTAATAGTTGTTCAAGCGACGACTGCGAGCATGGCCGTTGATTACCATTCATCTGGCACCATCTTAAAGTGTTGTGTTCGTTGTGTTTGTTCGCAGCTACAGCATCCGCTGCGCCAGAGACTTCAGTGGCGGAGGCACCTCAGGCAGAGGTGGAGATAAGCGTCGGTGCGGGCGATGAGGACATCGAGAGTGAGAGCGAGGCACGCCCGGCGCCCTCCCGGTCGAAGAACTTGGCCTCTGTGATGGCAGAGTCACAGGCGACTGCCACCACCAGGCCCCGTCCTCCGCCCGTGCGTGTGCCGGACAACCCTTTTGTGGCCATGCCTGTAGCTGGGTCGTCTCGTGACCCGACAGCGCCCGGGGAGGAGACACACATTCTGATTAGTCGCGCGGAGTTCGAGGCCTTGAAGAAGGCGCAAGAAGCGAGCGCGCGCACCGTGGCCCGTCTTGAAGAGGAGCTGAGGTCTGCTAAGGCTGTGCAGGCGCGTGCACCCCCTCGCAGGCCGGACGAGCATGTCTCGGGGAGCGGTGGTGCTTCTGGTCGGAAGCGGAAGCGTCGGGAAGAACTCGCCGATGAGGAGACATCCGACGAGGAGAGCGAGGATGAGCCACCCACCAAGAGGGGGCATCTGAGGGTGTCCAAGTCACCGGTCCTGCAGCGGGCGCTGAATTTTCTGCCCACAAACAAGTCGTGGAAGGTGCGTTGTGACGAACATAGGTGCCTCCACCATGTGTTAACTGCCTTTGCACCCCTTACTACGTGCTTCTCGGAGTTTTGACGGCGGATGTGTGTGCTGGGTGGTTTTGATATGGTTGCAGCGCGCGTGCGACCTGGTGAAAGATTACCTCTTCTTTGAGAAGGAGAACGCCCGGATCACGTTCTATCCGAGCAGCGACGACAAGACGGTGGGAGTGTGTGCAGTGATCGAGGCTTCAAGGGAGCGCAGGTGGGTAGCGAGGTCAGCGACAGTCTCAAAGGAGGCGAGGTCAGGGTAGATAAAGGGGACGAGAAGGCGGCTGAGGGAGGCAGAGGAGGGAGTGGAGTAGCGAGCAACAATAGCAGTGTAAAGGGCTGCAGCAGACTCGACCTGAGTGAAGTGGACGGCCTCAGTCGGCGGGAGAAGGTCGGTCAGGGCGAGGCAGGCAGCAGCGTCACGAGACTCCCACACGTCACGAGCGAGGAACCGGCGCTGGTACTCAGCCTCCTGCTCGGAAGTAGGCGGTGGGGTAGTGGGCAGCGGTGTAGGCTGCGGCGGGGCGGGCAGAGCACCGGACGCATGCGCAAACAGGTGCACGCCATCCTGGCGCTGGCTCCTAAGGTGGCGCTGGGCCTGCGTCAGCCAGGTACTAAAGTCGATCGCGCGCCCCTCAGGGTCGAAACGGAGCACGCGAGACGTCGCCATGAGGGGCGAGAACAAGTGATAGCGGCCGCCAGCCGCGAGAGGAGGAGGAGAGGGAGGTGAGTGCGAGGCGGGTGCGCGCAGGCGGGGCGCGTTCTGGCTGGGCGCGGGGCGGCGGGGCGCGCGCTGGCGGGGCGCGCTGGCTGGCGTGGCGCGCGGGCGCGGCGCGCTGGCGGGCGGCTAGGCAGGGCGCGCGCTGGCGGGCGCGGTGCGCTGGCGTGCGCGCCGGCGGGGCCCGCTGGCGCGGAGCGCTGGCGGGCGCGCTGGCGTGCGTGCTGGCGGGCGCGCTGGCGGGCTCGCTGGCGGGCGCGCTGGTGTGCCCGCTGGCGGGCGCGCTGGCGGGCTGGCGTGCAAGCGGGCTGGCGCGCAGGCTGGCCGGCGCGCTGGCGCGCTGGCGCGCTGGTTGGCTGGCGGGCTAGCGCGCTGGCTGGCTGGCGCGCTGGCTGGCTGGCGCGCTGGCTGGCTGGCGTGCGCGCTGGCTAAGGGCGGGGAGGGGAGGGGCGCGCCGGCTGGGGCGTGGGGTAGGGCGCTGGCGGGCTGGCGGGGCGCAGTGGTAACCCTAATGGTAGGGACGGGCGGGCCTAGGGCTAGGAGCGCTAACCTACTGCTGATACCATGTCTGAATGAGAACTACAGCGGAATGTGTTGCATTGACAGAATTGGGGTACATAACCTAACCCTAACTAGTTGTACCCCATATAGCCCAACCCACTACAGGCTATAATATTTGACACCCCCACTCAACCTCACCCCCCACCCCCCACCTGACCAATCTGCAGGGTGTGGCAGCAAACAATAGCGCGGAATTGGGGGCTACCAAAGTACAACTCACTAGCAGCAGCCAAACCACCTGCTTGCGATGCCTGAAGGCAAGGCCGGAACCAGGAACAACCCACCCCTCGCTTGCCAGAGAGGGATGTATATTATCCTACACTGCAGTGCCTCAATGCGTGGAGCTAGGAACCTTGTTTGGTTGGAGAGTAAGCATATAATGTGCTGCAGAAGAAGCATATGAGAAGCGTAGCCCTCCAGTGGGAACGATATGCAACCAAGCGCAGTTAGTTGGCAGGTGACACACCCTCGCCCAAGTACACTGTCTTGCAAAATGCTTTGCGTAAGCTCGATAGGAGATTGAACCCTCTAAGCTACAACTTCCCAGCTCAGATGGTATGTAGGTTCCGGGTTTAAACCCCAGTGCCGGCGAGTAATATCGAAGGGGGTTTTCCCTGTAACCTTTACCTTAACTGTCCGATTATGCCAATCACAAGTGAGTGTAACTACCGAACTAGTGGAACATGTTAATGCAAGATTTCTTTGAGCGTGCATTAGAACAGACTTACGTGAGCGTGCATTACAACACACACAAATCGGCTCTCGAATGCGTGAGTGAGGCTCGCACTCTAATAGCGCGTTCCCACGGTTTGGACAAGAAGTGAGTCTGCCCACGCGGCTCGTGTTTTGTCGAGATGGTATCCATGGTGGGGCACTTCTCAAGCTGAAATCGGAGGAAGGGGAAGAAGGGGGAAGAGGCGGGGTCCAGGACTCCTATGGGTTTCAGCCTGCTTCTAGCCACCGCATGTGTTCAGGGTTTAGGGCGAGGTGATGGTTGTGTTGGTCGAGGTGGCGGTTACGTTGGTTGGGTTTGTACGTTCCCATACGGAGCTTAACATCGAGGTGGTGGTTGTGTTGGTCGTGACGGTTTTTGGAGTGGTCGTGACTACCAATTTTGAGGTCAAGGTGGTGGTTGGCGGGGTCGTGGCGGCCATTTCGATCGGGGTGGTGGTTGGGTGGGACACGGTGGGCACGGTCGTGGTCGTGGTTGGGCTGGTGGTGGCGGTGACTGGGGTGGTCTTGACTGTCAATTTCACGGCGGTTGTGGTCGACTCGACGGATTTCTGGAGCTGACGCACAGACCCCGCCCCCAGAAAGCGCCGCGTGGCGACGAATCCCTTGGATGCTGCCGCTGCACAGAGAACAACAGAAGGGCTTCATCGCGGAAAAGGTATTGCGGAAATGAGTCGAAAAAACTGCAGAAAAGTTACTTTCTGGATACCCGGCCCCGATGTTTTCCAGTGAAGGTCAAAACCATCGGAATTCCCGCAAGGGTGCACGTTGCGTAAAAGTGACCCCTTCGCCACATTTCGGACACATTTCAGGAACCTCCTAGCAACCGCGATCTTGCCAGAAAGTTGCGATAAAGTTGCCCGTCACACGTGTCACATGACACCGTACACCAAAGTGCTTGTGCATCATACCGTACGTACCCCCTTGCCACGCGGCCTTCATCGAGGCGGCTTCACGCAACGATCCCCGCCGTACACATGTGAGCACCCCGTTGGTCTAACGAGTGAATACACCCACTCTCGTCGCCCACTTACCAAACTGCGCGTGCATTTCGCCCACCAATCTGCATGCAGAGGACCCACCTCCCCACCCACAAACGCGCCGCCACCTCCCCACCCACAAACGCGCCGCCACCTCCCCACCCAACGACCTCTCGTTATCCCACACCTGTGCATACTGCTCGCACACCCATCCAACGCTCTCGCGACATCTGTCTACGTCCGCTTTGCGCACACCACTCCACGCGGCGCAAATCCACACCGCGAACACCTCGCATCTCGACCGTACACCTGTGGGACCGTGAGTGGCCCCGCACCATGTAACTACACACTTCGTCAGCCACTAAAACGTAGCGCGGGCCTGCCTCGCCCGTCCTACGGCAAACCTTCGCCAAATCTGACGTCCCAACGCATGCTCGCCACCTCAGCCGGTGTTACCAGGGCGTGCACCAACACCTGACGATAAAGTGAACCAAGCTTCCGCCCGCTGCATACGCGGGACGTGTCTCCACTGTCCGCCCACCATTTACACCTGGTGGATTTAGACACGTGGTCCCAAGCTTTACTACTTCCCCCTATTGGTGCGACTGGCCACGCCATTGACGCGTGAGATGCGGCCAACCACTGCAAACATATCCGACGTCAGATGTGCGGAAAACGTCCACCACATCCCTCAACAGCACCTATTCAATGTGCGTGCCACGAATGGTCTACGTTCGACGCGGCCCGAAGCGCGCCCTCAGTAATGTGCGCAGCTCGTGAAACCGGAACCACGTATCCGTACCTATTAGACACCGCAATGCTGTTATTAAGATACCAAATACGGCGTAACCATACAACGTGGTGTGTTTACATTCCCTAAGTGTTCGCGTGAGTTTGCACCATATTTCAAAAACGCACAACCCATCCGTAATAAACCTACAGCAAAGCGACACAAAAGAAACACACACATAGCTAGGACCCACAACAAACACAAATATCCCGCCTACAGCAACAAATGCACGACAAACCCCAGCTGGGAAAACATGCCTTCAACCCCCACCATTTACGGGCCTCCAAGCGACCCAGAGATCTCGTCCGCCTGAACCTCTGCCCCATCACGGGTAGCGGCAGTCGCTGGAATTAAGTCCTCCAGCCCGCACGAGGACAGTCGAAGGCCATGGCGCCCCCAGGTCCACGAGCACGAGGCGACGTCGTACTTAGGCTTGAAGATTCTGATCGCGTTCGACACTGCCTCACGCGCAAGGATCACGAGCCCATCGACCACCTGCGCGTTTCCACAGGCAGAGTTCGACAGTCGCCCCTTCCTCGCCTCCCAGTTCACCAGCGTGTCGGTCACCTGCGACACGCAAACAGCCCCTTAGCCACCGGGGGAGGACGGGTGACCACATAGCACAAACAAACACCAAGCACGTACCACATGCTCCAGCCACGCCAGGTGGTAAAGCTTCACCGTCAGTGGCCCGACCACCTTCTTCGGCTTGAATGCCGCAACCGCGCATGCCACGAATGCGCCAGAGGCGAACGGCATCCCCTCCCGATCGTTCCCAAACTTGGACAATGCCAGGGGATCTGCGCACAAATGCACGCCCACGTAAGTCCGCGATCCACGCATCCCGCATACATCCCCTCTCCAACCACGTGACCACCGCCTTACCGTCAACGCCGAGCAGCAGCCCATAATGCGATCGTATCTCCTCCAGAGTACGGTCCTTCTTCGTGGCCCATGGGCTGCGCGTATCTCGCTCGTCGCGGAAAAGCCCCATCCGTGGACACGAGATGTCCCGCGTCCTTCCTGCTGCGCCCGACTTCCACTCGCTAAGGGCCTTGTTCAAATCCGACCGTCTTGCCTTGTCCGCAGCCAGAGCAAGTGTCGCGAAATCGAAAGGCCGCTTGCACTGAGGAACAGCTTGCCCTTGCACCCCCCCCCATGTGGCTCACTATTCACTGGTTAGTCACTCGCCTCCCTGACCGTCTAGCCACAGCCCGCGACGCGCTTCTCCTGAAGCACCCCACTGAGCTTACTATCGATCTTCTTGAGACCGCTCTCTCGAAGATCGAGAGTAACCTCCTCGCTGTTGCCTCCGCCTCTTCCGCGCCTCCTCCTCGTCTCTTTGAGGGGTGTGCGGTACCACAGCTTCCCACCTTCACTGCCTCGCTTGCCACTGCCGCGTCTTCTGCCTCTGAGGAGACGGCGGCCGTTTCTGTCTCTGGCGGACAGAAACGTGGCAAGTCCGGCAAGAAGGGAGGGAAGGGCGGCGGGGGTTCTGGGGGTGTTGCGGGTGGCGGCGGTGGCGGTAGTACTAGTGGCGGGGGTGGCGGCGGGGGTGACTCGGGACCTGACGGCTCTCCTCTAGACGGTGGTGAGGGGTTTCCGCAGCAGCAGCAGCAGACTCCTCCGCAGCTGCCACCGCCTGGACAGCAGCAGCGGCAGGGACAGCAGCAGCAGCGCCAGGGCCAGCAGCAGCGTCCGCCTCAGCAGCAGCCCCAGCAGTGGGGCACTCAGCAGCAGTGGGGCACTCAGCAGCAGTGGGGTCCTTCGCAGCAGTGGGGCCCCCCGCAGCAGTGGAGACCTACGGGCCCCCCGAGCACTGGGCGCAGTGGTGCCCCTTCTAGTCGGGGACCCCGCTCGGCCGGCCGCGACGTTGGTCCCTGTGAGTACTGGATCCTGACGGGTCCGCGCAGGGGCACGTACTGCGGCCGCCCTGACCACTCTGCTGCACGCTGCTTCAGCCGTCTCGACGACCTGTACGTCCTGCACCACGGCCCCTCCGCTCCCCCGCCACCGCGCTGGGGACCACTCCTTGCTCGTGGTGTTGCGGTGTTTGATATGTCTATGGATGATGCTAGGTCTTATGCGATGTATGCTGATGTTGACTATAGTGCTGCTGGATCTGTTTACTTGCCTGTACCTAGCGTAGGATCTTTGCCTGTTGCTAGAGTAGGTGCTGGTGTAGGATCCTGTCTAGCTACTAGTACAGGTGCTCCCTCGGCGGACGCGTCGCTCTCCTTCACACTGGACTCCGGAGCGACGCAGTGCTTCTTCCGCGACAGCACGACTCTTACTCCACTCTCGGCGCCGGTTCCTGTAGCACTGGCTGATCCCTCTTCGGGACCGGTCATTGCGACTCACGCCACTACCCTCCCGTGCCCAGCTGCCCCTTCCGGTTCTCTGACCGGCCTCCACGTTCCTACTTTCTCTAGGAACCTGGTTGGTGTGGCTCCTCTGGCGAGACAGCACGTCGGGGTCTGGTTTGAGCCTTCTGGTGACACTGCAGTCTGTGTGGACGGTGACACGTACGCCCCTCTGGCCACTTTTCGTCAGGAGTCGGGCTCTGGTCTGTACACCCTCCACACCGACACCCGTCCGGTTCCCCCGTCCCACCAGGTAGCCAGGTCCAGTCAGGTAGCTGTGCCAGGTCTAGTGGCTGCGTCGTGCTCGTGTCGGTCGCTGTCCCACCCTGTCCTCCTCTGGCACCACCGCCTTGGTCACCCGTCCCTCTCTCGTCTCCGCGCTATGTCCAGTCAGCGTCTTGTCTTAGGCCTCCCCCGCGACCTCCCGCCGCTCCCGCCGTCCCCCGCTCCTCCGTGCGGTCCTTGTGTCCAGGGTCGGCTGCGCGCCACTCCTCACTCCTCCTCCCTTCGTCCAGCCTCCGAGCCCTTTGAGACACTCCACTTAGACGTCTGGGGCCCCGCTTCCCGGCTTGGCCCTGAGCGAGAGAGCTTCTTTCTAGTGGTCGTTGACGACTACTCTCGGTACACCACCGTGTTCCCTTTGGCGAAGAAGTCCGACGTGACTTCTACGCTGATCCGGTGGCTGCTCGCCACCGAGAGTACTCGTCGTCGTCGTGTCAGTTGTCTCCACTCCGACCGTGGGGGTGAGTTTCGCTCCGGCGTTCTCGCCAGATTCTGTGCTGAGCAGGGCATCACCCAGTCCTGGACTCTTCCAGACTCTCCACAGCAGAATGGGGTTGCTGAGCGCCGGCTAGGCCTGGTCATGGAGATTGCCCGCACCTCCATGATCCACGCCCGCGCGCCCCATTTTCTGTGGCCCTACGCGGCTCGGTACGCCGCTCACCAGCTGAACCTCTGGCCTCGCGTCTCTCGGCCAGGGGCTTCACCGACCAGTCTTTGGACAGGGTCCCCTGGTGTTGCGTCGAGGTTTAGTGTCTGGGGCTGCTTGGCGCTTGTCCGCGACACCTCTGCGGACAAGCTCTCACCTCGCGGCGTCCTTTGTGTCTTCCTTGGTTTCCCTGAGGCCTCCTCTGACTTCACCTTTTACCACCTTCCCTCCCACCGGTTCTCCCCTACTACGTCCGGTACCCCTGTCGAGGTCTCCGTGTCCCCCCCCCCCCTCCCCTCTTCCTGGCTCCAGCTCCTCCTCCTCCCGCCCCTGCTCCTCCGGTACCCCCCCCTGGTCCTGCTCCGTCTGGTGTGTCCCACGCTACTCCCCCCCCCTCGGTACCCCCCCAGGTCTCACCTCCTTCCCCACAGTCGTCCTCACAGCCTCCGCAGCAGCCGTCAGCGCTTCCTTTACCGGCCACTGCGGACTCTGAGGGTGTTGGTGCTCGGGGTGAGGGCTCTGGCGGTGCTCGCTCTGGGGGTGCTGGCGTTGGAGCTGTTAGTGCACCTACAGGAGCCGCCCGTTCTGGGGGTGTTGGCGTTGGCGCTGAGCGTGCACCCGCCGCGGCTGCCCGTTCTGGTGGTGCTGGAGCTGGTGGTGTTTCTGGAGCTGGAGAGTCTGAGGCTGGTGCTGGTGCCACTGGAGGCACCCCGACTGGGGGTGCGGGTCCACCTCCTACAGGTACTAGTCGTGCTGCCGCAGGGGGTACACGCTCTGGGGGTTCTCAGCCGGGTGCTGTTGAGGGTGGAGCCGGTTCTTCTTCTTCGTCTCCTGACACCACTCCTCCTCCTCACCCCTACCTGACTCGACACCAGACCCGTCTTCGTCTTGAGCGTGAGGAGCAGCAGCGTTTGGAGCGTGAGAGGTTGGAGGTTCAGCAGCGGGTGGAGCGTGAGAGGCTGGAGTTGCAGTGGGAGCAGCAGCAGCAGCAGCAGCAGCAGCAGCAGCAGCAGCAGCAGCAGCAGCCGCCGCAGCAGCCGGAGCAGCCTCCGGCCTCTGTTACTGGCCTTCGGGCCCTTGGTCTCCCCTCCTCCTCTCCTCCTGTGTTCGGTCCGACGTTTCCTCCTCCGGACTCAGCTCCGGCTGTGTTCCCTCGTTCTCAGTCTCCTCCGTCTCCCGCTCCGTCTCCCACTCCTCTCTCCCACACTTGGGCCTCTCGTCCTCCTCGTGCTCGTCCCTCGTCACCTGTCCGTGACCTTCGTACCGTGTTGTTTCGTCCTAGTCCTCCTCGTTCTCCTCCGTCTGTTCTTCCTCGTCCTCCTGAGTCGTCCCTCACTGCCTCCCTGTCTACTCCGGTCACTGACTACTACCGCACGTACCGCCCCACTCTCTCTCGTGTTCTCGCCTCTCTTGTTACAGACCCTCGTGCCTCTCCTTCCTCCGTCGCGGTCCTCACTGCCGCTGTCACAGACTTTACTGCTACGCGTCGCCTTGACTACGCCACTCGCGTTGTGGCGGCTCCTCCTGTCCATCCTTTGTCCGCCGGGGGTGAGTTTGCCCTTGGCTGTGCCGTCCTAGAGGATAGACAGTTTGAGCTAGAGTTCCTGGCAGCCGCTTCACCTCATCTCTGTGCCATGCTGCTCGCTCCTGAGGGAGACCCCGACGCTCCTGACATACCTACTCCTCGCACTTACGCTGAGGCAGTGTCAGGGCCTTGGGCCTCTCAGTGGAGAGCTGCCATGGACACAGAGATGGCCTCCTACAGGTCCACAGGCACTTACGTTGACGAGGTTCCCCCCCCAGGGGCGAACATTGTTGACGGCATGTGGATCTTCAAGGTGAAGCGGCCGCCGGGATCTCCTCCAGTCTTCAAGGCACGCTACGTGGCTAGAGGTTTCAGTCAGCGTGAGGGAGTTGACTTCTTTCAGACCTTTGCGCCCACCCCGAAGATGACCACTCTTCGGGTGTTACTGCACGTAGCAGCGCAGAGAGACTACGAGCTACACTCTCTCGACTTCTCCACTGCCTTCTTGCAGGGCAGCCTACACGAGGAGATCTGGCTGCGTCGTCCTCCGGGCTTCACTGGCACTTTCCCGCCTGGGACCCAGTGGAGCCTCAGACGACCGGTCTACGGTCTCCGCCAGGCACCCCGTGAGTGGCACGACACTCTCCGCTCTACTCTGTCCGACCTTGGGTTTGAGCCGTCTTCCGCCGACCCGTCGCTGTTTGTTCGTCGTGGGCGCACACCTTTCTTTGTTCTTGTCTACGTTGACGACCTGGTTTTTGCCACAGCCGACACAGTTGCACTGGCGGAGGTGAAGTCCGAACTGCAGAAGAGACACACCTGCACTGACCTTGGGGAACTGCGCCGCTACCTTGGCCTGCAGATCTCCAGGGACAGAGCCGCTTGCACCATCACTCTGACTCAGTCACACATGGTGCAGCAGGTCCTTCAGCGGTTCGGGCTT